GGTAGAATTGGCAACACTATTAGAAGATACAGTGTAACACAACTACAATAACACAAAATAACTACTCTATACATTTCCTGCTATGTGATATGATATCAATTACCAGCAATTTGTTTGTTTTCTATGTATGATATATATTTTTGCGCTTATGAAAAAGATAATTCAAATATAAGATTGGAAATGATAAATCAGAAAACAATGGAGGATATTTCAACCTGCCATTACAATCTGAAAGAAAGAATGTTGAATAAAAAGAATAAAATGATTTTTAAACTAATTTTAAAAGGAGAGTCCAATATATGCTACATGTGTTAAAAGTTGACATACAAATTCTGTTTTGCAATACAGTAAACGCAGCAGTAAATTGAACCATTACAGGTAGTCCTTGTTTAGCAACGACAGTTGGGACTAGCAATACAGTCATTAAATGATGTGGCCACTAAGTAGAAAATCACTTGATTACAATTGTGCTATGAGTTTACTTCAGCTTTCCTTGCCTTTACCCTTTGGAATGTTCCCCCTGGTGCTGGGATAACCAACAAGAAGGGAATTAATGTTTGCATTTACATTCATTTGAGAGGAAGGGATTAAAAGAGAGTAAGCAGGCATACGATGGGGAATACCCATTGAAAAGAAAGAAAAGAAACATTAATGACTATGTTTGCTTAATATGCTTTTGTCTCCAAGCCCCAGGCTGATTAGGAGGGCAACGAAAGTGAAAATGATTAAAATCTTGTCAGTCGCAGGCAGCAGCAGCTAGCTAACAAACATATTAATAGTTAACTTGAGAAAAGCAGTTTAGAAAGAGATTGCTTGTTTAATCTCTCCACTCTATTTGGGGGGGGGGGGGGGGGAGAAAGGAAACAAATGTTAGGCACAGGACATCAGGTACAAACTGACTTCATGATGAACACATGACTGAAAGAGAAAGACATATTTATATTTATACCCCACCTTTATTATTATTTTTGCAAAGAAGTCAAGGTGGTGAACATATCCAACATAACTTTCTCCTCCTTTTTTGCCTATAACAATAATCCTTTGATGTGGGTTGGGCTGAGAGTGAGTGACTGGCCTAAAGTCATCCAACTGGCTTTCATGGCTAAGGTGGGATTAAACTCATGGTCCCTGTGAAGGTCATACATTAGCACCTTGGTCATGAAGTTATTTTTCAGCATTGTCATAAGTTTGAACTGTTGCTACATAACTGCTACATAACAATCAATAAGTTAGGTCTACTGTAATTGTTTGTCATACTGGAAAAATAATGAATAAGGGACAAAGGATAGTGTATAGTGAACTCTGGGCAGTAATAAGCCAGAGGGAAATATGTTGAAATGTGTAACAATTATTGTTTATTTGTATATAGAGATAAAGATGTAACTGAATTATCTTAATAGCTGATTTCTTCTCCAGCACATATTAATATAACTGTATATGAATGTTCTTTTATGCATCTTAAAAGTTTTACATAATTTTTTTTACTGATAACAATTTCATTTGTTTCATTCATATATACATATATCCCAAAAAGCAGACTTTAGTACATAAATATCAATCCTAAAACTGCTAGTTTTCAAAAGTGCCACAACTTCTGCTGCTTTCTATGCAATAAATTTCAATCTAGATGTTGCAGAAAACTTCATTGCCTTAGAACATACAGGGAGGGCTGAATATATTTATTTCATGCAATGGGCTTTAAGAACCTGAGCTATCCATTGGTGAAGAATGTAAACCTACTGTTTCTTAACTGCAAGTTTCCTTTCCTCACTTTCCGGGAACCATAAAAACCTGCTGGATGAAGTAGAGATTATTCTCCTATGCACAACTAATCTTAATCATTAAGTTAGTTAGGCAAAAAGAGCCAAGATGCTTACTTAAAAATAAAAATGTAAAACTGTTTCTTTTTAAAATTAAAAATATAGGCTGTTTAGAAAGACACTCTAGAATCAAGCTGCCACCTTCTTTTTTTTAAAGCTTCTTATGGCACCTAGAAGAAAATAGGATACTTTGCTTGACATGCAGGAAATATATAAAGTCACAAATTCTGGGAAAGCCATTAACTGTGAAATGTTTACTTCCAGATCTCCTTACTGGAACAGGCCTAGTGCACAATATGTTAAATCATTTCTAAACCTGTTTAAGCAAATAGTAGAGTATATAATGGAACTAGTAATGGCAAGAATGGAATGTGCTTGTTACCATTTTTCCATTTCCATAAATGGCTAAAATTACTTAAGAGAGATTTGAAGAAGTGACACAAAATCCAACCACATTCTGCAAATCATTATGAAGGAGTAGTATTACCAGCAGAATAATAAAATTACAGGGCTGGAAGGTGACATTTAGACCATCAAAAGTCCAACCCTGCTTAGTGCAGAAATCCAAATTAAAGAACCATCAGACAGATGGTTTTCTAGTGTCTGCTTGAACATAATTGAATAAAGAGAACCTTACCACCCTTTGGATAACTGACATCACTAACAAATTGTTTTTACTATTAGGAAGGGTTTTTTAAAATCAAAATTTGATTTTCTGTAAGCCGAATCTAGAATTCTAGATTCTACATTTTGAATGAAAGTGTATAGATCTTGACTTTCTATATGAATCTCTCAACTGTCTTTTCTCAAAACTAACTATACTATACTCATCTCTTAAAGCCTATATTTCTAATCCTCTAATTATTTTTGCTGCCCTTTTCTGAACTTGTTCCAATTTCTCTGAAATGTTCTTAAACTTTGATACATAGAATGGACACAGTACTCAAAGTGGAAATACTTTCTACCTCTAATTCAGAATTAGGCTGCTTTGCAGTCATGTCACAACTGCTGGCCTATACTCAATTTGCAATTAATTAGTGTGTGTGTGTGTGTGTGTGTAAAAAGAGACAGACATCCCAATCTCTGGAAGTAAAATTTAATATCATTCACTAAGCCCTGTTAGTCTCTGCTAACATTGTCAGAATGTAAAACAACCTTTAAGGAGATACATGCCTTTATATAACATGGAGGCAATATGCTGACTGTAAACCACTTAGAGAGGGCTGTAAAGGGCTATAAAGCAGTGTTTAAGTCTAAGTGCTATTGCTATTAACCAGACCTGAAAATTACTCAGAAATAGAGTCTATAGAGCACATATGTTTGGATGGTGGACATCAGTGGAACCTCGGGTCACAACCATAATCTGTTCCAGGACTACGGTCACAACCCGATTTGGTCGTGACCGGAAGCACAACTGACTGCGCATGCATGGACAAAAAATTGTGTGGACTGCGCATGCGTGGAAGGGGAAATCAGTACAGAAAGGGAATCTGTTTATTCGCTGGGTAGAAAAATCAGGCGGATTTTTTGGTCGGAACCCAATTTGGTTGCGGACAGAAGTGTTTGCGACCTGAGATTCCACTGTATATTGATCAGAAAGACACCATTATTTCCCTTTTATTGATTTTTCAATGAGCAATTTAAACCATGTATATGTAAATTTTCTTTTATACAATAATGTGACTCTGGCTACAGCCAATTTTTCCCCCCGCCATAATTAGACATAGGAAGAAACTATTTGCTGAACAACTTATTTCTCGTATGTCAAAATGTATGCTGTTTTCTTTGTTATTCTGTTTGTTCTTGGCTCCTTTGATGATGATAAACTTACATTTATTACTGCTTTGATATATTGCCATGTATACCAAAGTTCTATCTAAATTAAAGACTAGCATTGTCAGGAGGTGTGTAAAACCTATTAAGATAGCTTTTCAAGAAAAGAGCACCCAGAGCCAACCATTTCAGACTATCTTTTAGCTATTATGAAAAATCTCTACTGCTATATGTATTTGTACATACTAAGTGGCAATCCCTTGTGCTAATACAGGTAAAGCTACAGAAAACATAACCAGAACATGGACCTACTGTTGAATCTCTACCATAAATGTGCACTTGAAAAATGTGTATAGAAAACAAACCAGACACTCTAGTCAAAAATATAAACAGGCCATTAACTGTGGGCAATATTAAAATATGAAATATTTATAGATTTGACTGTGACATCCAGAGGAGCGAAGAATAAGGGCTTAAAGTAAAAAAGTAAATTTAATTTTGGAAACTGTTTTAAATCAGAAATAGCTGCACAAAAAGGTTTTTAAATTTTCTTTTAAAATTAGATAGGAATTATATATTTAAACTCTAGGCTTTTGGAAAAGAAAAAGCTTAGGAATATATGGATCTTGTGAGACACATACACCATAATTCAATTACTTCAAATAATTCCTCATAAGACTGTTTGCTGTTACTTTATCCTGTGTTTTAATTCTACTTCCTGTCTTGATTGGGAAATGCAAGAAGTCACAACAGAAAGAATTTACAAAAGATGAAGCAACATATTCAGTGCAAAGGATTTCTGAGAGTTAATCAAATATAAAACAAAAGATAGAAAGTAGTAGTAGTAGTAGTAGTAGTAGTAGTAGTAGTAGTAGTAGTGTGTTTTGTGGAACCGTAACTAGTTTTCTAGAAAACTTTAAAAAATCTGCCATTGTTTCTTCTAAGTGAAGAAGGAAGAATTAAAAATAGGCCTCTTCATTCTATCCTGAAGATGTTTTGCAACGCTACTTGTTTTGACATTCTTTTTGAGTTTTTAATAGGTTCAAATATTGTAGCCTTGCCTTTTCAATTGCTGCATACTGTTTGAAAACAACAGTGATTACAAAGGCAACTGCATTGCAGTAGTGGGGGAAAGAATTAGAGGATGCAGTTTGCAAAATGTTCTGGGATTTGGGAAGATAAAATTGCTGTTTACATAAAGAAGAGTATTAAAAACTGCCATTTCTTTTTTACTTATAATTCCACTTTCTAAATACTTTTTAAAAATGGTAAAGAATGCAAAAGCATTCTTTGCCTAAAAATAATACAGCAAAACCAAAAAATGATTATTTAAAAACTTAAAGCATCTGAAACAAAATGGGAGAAATTGGTTCTTATTCAGAAATACAAAATATAAAAATAAAATACCTGTAACCAGGGTCCATGTGCTGCATATGGATGCTCCTCTGTAGCAAAGGCCCCTTCAACTCCTGTAGATACAAAAGTGATTGCTGTATCTCCTGTAATACTTTTGTATGTAAAGTGCCGACCATGTAATAATCTGCCTCTGAAACAATAAGCAAAAAAATGACTTTCAAATCAATACGGTCTCTCCCATGTGCCACTCTGTCACAATATATATTCCTCAATACATATAATATTTTAGACCCATAATTTTAAAGTTCAAGATAAAAAAATGAAATAGAGACGAGGGACAGAAACAACTATAATTTGACTACAGTAATTAAGGCTCTAGTGGATTGGGTAAAAAAAGAAAATTCATCTAAGTTCCAATATACACAAACTGCAAACTCAATGACTTGTATCATAGAAACTTTCACAGTACAATGACTGATGAAACGAAAGAGATGTAGTTAAATGAAAGGAATTCTATATCTCACCTACATTTCTCTCTTCCAGACACATTCCATCTAAATGTAATATATGCTTTTTCATAAACCAAAACAAAGTATTTGAATAGCAAATTTAGATAATATGTGGAAGATTTCTGGAAGATTTCCTAAGGTTACCAGAAAAATTCGCTATTTTGGAATTCAAATAAAAATATATAATAATCTAATTATACAACAAAATACAATATTGCATTGTGGTAAGATTATACAGCATAATATAATATGCTAGAATTAATCAGTTCAGATATTTGAGACTTGACATGTAAGAGTTAACCAAAACCTTGAAATGTAGAGTCCTAAGATTACAATGGCAATTAGGACCAGACTGCTGTAGCTAAGCAATGTTGTACAAAGTATGATGCAGTTACCGTCAGTTACCAATGGCAATCCAGACAGTCCTGTTTGCTTTCTTAACCCCAAAATACACACTAAGAAAATATACCCACATAGGCCACACACAAGTTGGAAGAAAGTGGGATTGAGGTGCAAGTGCAGGAAGTAGGGTGTGGGTTGCACAAAACAAACACTTTATACAGGGGTGTCAAACTCGCGTCGTCACAGCATCGTCACGTGACGTATTGGGATTTCCCCGCCCCTTTGCTAAACTGGGTGCGGCCGAGGCCAGCATGTGACACACCGGCCTGCGAGTTTGACACCCCTGCTTTAAACAGACATTTCAAGGTCCTCCCCTGTTGTTTGAATATGTATGCTTTCAGGGAAAATATCTGCATGGAATTATTGTAGTAAAGCAATAAGTCTCTTGGAGGATCATGCCAAATCTTTGAGATGCAGCACTTTCACATTTTGAACAAGGGCACATTGCTCATTTCATGGAGTGCCCTCTGAATAGCACTCCTCAACCCCTAGGCTTATATATATATTACATGGTTAAATACTTTGTAATATTCAGTTTAGCTTTTTAAATCTAGTTGAAGAGACCTCAGTAATGTAGAGACAACAGAATGGTCCTTACAGTCCCTCGTATGAAAACTCACATTCTACTCACCTTAAACAAAGTGGAATTAATGCTCCTGATTCCTGGTTGAATTTTAGGTGCACACTCTCAAGTTGCCTTGTGCGAATCAATTCATGAGGAATGATTGCTGCTGAGCTGTCACTTTCTAAACTGTCCTTACGACTCCTAAATCAAAGAATGTATAAGATTTTTATCCCACCTTTTAAATATATTTTGGGTCAACTCAAGGTGGAGAATACACCTAATATTCCTGCCCCCTATTTTCACCACCACCACCATCCTATGAGATACATTGGGGGGAGAGAGTGATTTGACCAAAGCCACTCAACCTTCATGTCTAAGGGAGACCTAGAATTCACAGTCTCCTGCTTTCTAGTCCAGAGCCTTAACCACTATACTAAACTGGCATTGTAAATCCTTAAGCAGAGAATTACTGAAGCAATACTTAGGTTTTAAAACTTAACATATTTTACAAAATATGTGATATGTGTGGCCTCTATATCAGATCTATGTGTAACAAATCCAGTTTCATCCATGACCTGATTGTGAGTGTGATTGCAGACATGGGATGCATCTCTAAATCCCTGGTGTAGAGTCCCCTTTGCTGAAGTTTTGCCAACTTGTTTTATTTTTTTAATATAATAATTTTATTATTAATTATTATCTGTAACTTCAGTTCTGCCATGGATGGATTGGATCCTTGCACTACCTGGATGGGGAAAGCAGCAAAAGAATATTGAGAGCTGGGTCTGGGGTATACTTAATACTTCACAGGAAAGCTGCACTTTTGATAACCCTGAAACTTGTGCTAGTGATTTTTTAAAAAAAGACATCAGTCTAATCCGTTCTAACCAATGGAAGTAACAATTCATTTAAGTCATATTTACTTGGGATTTCTATATATTATTAGTAAAAAGGAGTCTGGACTTGAATTTTCTTAATGGTTAATGTTATCCTATATAGAATAGAATAACAGAGTTGGAAGGGACCTTGGAGGTCTTCTAGTCCAACCCCCTTGCTTAGGCAGAAAACCTTATACCATTTCAGACAAGTGGTTATCCAATCTTTTCTTAAAAACTTCCAGTGTTGAAGCAATTACAACTTCTGGAGGCAAGTTGTTCCACTGATTAATTGTTCTAACTGTCAGGAAATTTCTCTTTAGTTCTAAGTTGCTTCTCTCCTTGGTTAGTTTCCACCCATTGCTTCTTATCCTGCCCTCAGGTGCTTTAGAGTATAGCTTGACTCCCTCTTCTTTGTGGCAGCCCCTGAGATATTGGAACACTGCTATCATGTCATCCCTAATCCTTCTTTCTATCAAACTAGACATGCCTGATTCCAGCAACCATATGTTTATATGTTTTAGCCTCCAGTCCCCTAATCATCTAAATATGATTACATGGTTATGGTTTTTTGATCATGGTAAATTATCTTGCTTAGAACTGGTCTCTACCAGACCAACAAATTCCACATTCAGAATAAATGTTGCCTAGAAATAAGGTTATGAACAAAAGCTGGTATGTCTGAATCTACAGAATATCCTTAGCACTGAGAGTATACCAAGTACGATATAAAAATGTGTTTGTAATTTCAGGAGTCAGTATTGAATCATTATGTTTTGTCACATATTTCATCAAGATAAATTGCTATACTTATACCCTAATAATCTGATTTTTTTCCGAAGAAACTATTGGCTTAAGTGGGGATGTTTGTATTAGCAAATAAAGAAATTCTAACTTTTGAAATAAATGAATCTATTATTAAACCTTTCTTTCCAATTCAGTGTTTTGCTCTGAATGTTATTCTGCCTAATTTCTTCAGTTGACCACATTCTATTGAATTTTACCTCTTGACTAAATAATGGTCCTGGGACAAGCTTCCCTAAAATCCATCTTTCATTAAAATCTGTTAGATCCTGCAGCTGAAGATTTCTGTTTATAGGGGTTTTTCCATTTTCCATTTTCTTTGTAACTGAAATGAAGGCCTTCTCTTTGCCTTGCCAGCTCTTAAGAATGAAGGGTATTGGCAGGGCCACCCACATATAAGATTTTCAATAACCTACACTAAGCTGAATAAAGAATCAAGTATTCATTCTTTTAGCTTGAATGAAAACCATGCATGGTCCTGGGGAAGAAGACAACCTAGATGAGGGGGTGATGGAATTTCTAACACGTTAGGGAAAATAAGAGGGAGTCAAAGAAGTTATTACTGCAGCTTTTTTTCCTCTGCAAATGTAGCTTTGAAAGCAGGAGCTTAATACAGGTTTTATATCTGGTGTTTTCAGTTTTATTTCTACTTATTTCTGTTATTTTCATTTTTATGGTCATCATCTCTTATCTTCATTTGCTCTTACACACATAAAGTACTCTTAACCAGATCTATTTAACACAAAATTTCTCAGGTTGTCATTAACTAATGTATTTTAAAAACTGCCACATAAAATTCTCCACTCAACCAACACAAATAATTCATGGATTCTCAGCTTATATCCAGGAAGAAATGAATAAAACCTGACAAGAGCCATGACTTCTATATTAGGAAGGAGAAGGTGCATTTAAATGAGAGCAATATGCTGGAAATGTCCCAGCATGAGACTGCATATCTAACATTTTATGGAACTGGAAGGGAATCTGAGATTAAACCTTATTCTGAGTGATTGAAGGATTGTGGGAGGTGTAAGTGTGGGCAGTTGTCAGATTAATTCTTTAGATGATTAAATTCTTTTGTAGTCAATGTTTGAAGTCTCTTCATTTTAAATGAGTGTAATGCAGCAGTTACCAAGGTGACTTTTGCTGACTTTCAACTATTTCTTCCTTCATTTTCTGTTCTTACTAACAGCCTGAATTGGTTTCTACATCTTGTGAATTAAGATGAACCAACAGCACTGTTAGCCGTATTGCTGTTAGCTGCTGCTGTATTAAACTTCATATCTGGATTTGGGTACCAGAAGCAAAGCTAATAATTTGCTGGAAAACCACATCTCTATTGTTGCTAAGAAAGCAACAGAGTCATAGTCACATAAACAAATTTTCAACCGTCTTTGATCCTCCTGCAATATTAGAGACAGATGATATAAACCATGTCATTTGAAGGCAATCAATGTAAATTCTCCAGGGGGAAAAAAACCCAACTGCTTGCTACACGGTTTAAATATCCTACACTTTTTCTGAAATTCTAAGAATCTGAGAGACCAAAGTTTCAATAATTGCTTATAGTCCAAGTAAAGGAGAAACTAAGATTTGCTATGATTAACATAGGCATTGATTAACAGATTAAAGCTTACTAATAAAATAAACTAGGGGAGTTATCCTTAAATGCTGACTATTTATATGAGATCTATTGTCTGGGGTATTTGATGCAGAAACAGAGAGAAGTGGACTTGTGCACAATGTTCCACTGCCTACCTGTTACTTAAATTAAAAGTTCTAAAAAGTAAATTAAAGTTACTTAACACAAGAGTCTGCAGCCCTAACCCTAGCCCAACCCTATTTTAACAGATAATTTTTGTTTACTTTTATAACAGAGGACCAATAATTAAAGTTAGAGATATGAAGTTACAGAAGATATAAAATGCTAATTATAAGTTATACTACAACATACCTAAAATAAAATAACTTTTTACTATATAAGGTTCCAGCCAGCTCTTCTTCCAAGGAGAACAATCTATGCCTATTAGCCCAGCCATCATATTCTATACACCACTGGTTCACTTTACTTTATGTAACTTCTGAGAGCACATAGTCCCTACTGAGTTAATATGACAGAGAAAGGCGTGAGGACAGAAAAGACTGTTTAGATATTTTCTAGTTATATCAACCTGGAATTTCTTCTAAAGGTGCCAATGCTTCTTTTTTCTTTTTTGTAAAGTTTGGCTGTAATCCTTGGACATTCATAATCAGCATTATAAAAAGTAATGTGCAGAATCTAATGTAATGCTAATAAGTCAAACAGCCAACTCAGGATACAGACAAAAAAACCTCTATTTGTTAACAGCGCATATTTCCGAATTTACTTGAAAACAACTATCCTTTGTTTACTTGTGGACAATAATATGTTATTATTCATATTCTATAGAGGGCAAGGAAACATTTGAAACTGAGAAATATAAAAAAATAAAACTTAAATTCTGTTTTTTTCTTTATACACACACACACACACACACACACACACACACACACAGAGAGAGAGAGAGAGAGAGAGAGAGAGAGAAACATGTATACCTAATGTACACAAAAGACCAAGTAACATGACCCAAATGCAGTTACTTCTTATGTATCCCATATAGCTAGTAATGTGTAAATTAATTACATATATGATCTACCTCAGCTATTGATATTAATAAATATGCTCCTGTCTGGTATATATGCTTTTTATTTTGCTAGACTGATGTTTAATAACTTGAAAATTCTCAAATTCACGCTATACAGTAACTTGGTCAACACATTTATTTTAGAATGTGAGATAGCTTAGCCTTTCATTCAATTTCTCTTTCTTAACTTCTGATCTTTAGATTCTGAGCTTTTAGGCAGGGTTTGACCCTCATATTGATGTTCTGATGACTGTACGGAGGCTAGCCAATATTCACATAACTATGGTATAAAGACAAGCATTCTCTCTTATAAAGATATGCTTCAAATGCCTGAAATATTATAGTACAGAAAAGACAGTAGACTTATTGTCCCAGAAATCTGGATCAGAACCAGTGTAGTAAAATCTATAAGTAAGCAGGCTCAGGCTAAATGCAAGGAGGAACATCTTGGATTTACAAGTTGCCAGCCAGAAGAACAAGCTGCAACATGAAGTAATGAGTTCCCTTTCATTGGTGAACTTGAAAATGACGCTGGATCATTGGTTAGAGATATTTTATTTGTTTAATCATTTAAAAATGTATTGTCTGCCCATCTTACCACATAAAATGTCTGTCTGTCTGTTTGTCTGTCTGTCTGTACGTAAATATGTACATACATACATATGTACATAAGTTAAAACCATAGTCTAAGGTTCTACACTGAGCAGAGATTAAATAATTTCTAAGGTCATTTCTGCTTTATGCTACTTTAATTTAATGATGTTTACCAGTGGAATAAATATCAAACAGAGATTAGCATTCCCAAACCTGTATTTTTGCAAAAACTGAAATGTTCTTTATTTAGCCAGGTTTTCCACTCACTCTTTTCAACTGCCCTAATTATAAATGATTTGTTATTTGCTTTCCTTTGATTATTTAAGCTATTTTTACTATTTTGTTTCATATTTTTATATACCATATATCAGATTCTACTTTGGTAGTTTCTAAATTTAAGTATCCAAGTTAAAAGCAAATATAAAATGTTGCAAATACACAGTTAAATAAAATATATTTGAAGTATAGTACCAATATTATATTAACATTAAATTATAATATATTATAAAGTTGTATTATAAATATTATATTATATACAAAAATAGCCTTTCCTCCCATTGTTATCCTAAGAAAAATGAGAAAAACTTATTCTTTCCCACTTCAAGATTCATCTATAAGACTTACGGTGCTCTGTCAGTGTTCAATCCATTTTGCCTCTGAGTACTAATTGGTGGCAAAATTGGCTTGCTGTTAATCTCTAATCCCCTTCGTAGAGTTTCTCGAATTTGTTCTGTGTCTGAAAATTCAGAAATTTAAAAACAGAGTTAAATCTAGATGAGGTGATCTTTCAAACAGTAGATTGGAATATTAAAACAAAGACTATGCTTTCTTTTTCATCTGTATATAAAAAAACATAGTTTCTTGAAGCAAACTGGTAACTATGATTTGTTTCTATTTAATATAAACAACACTCACAAAGCTTAAGCTTTGAATAACATTTCAAATTATGATTTTTGGAAAATATTAGTCACAAAACACTGAATGAAGCATTATAGAATATAATAGCAATGTTGATCCTCTGGCTTCATCCCTGAGAAAATGTTATATAAAGTTAACACAAAGTCACAGGCATTAAATTTATTTACACACACACACACAGTATTTCCTCACAATCCTGTGAGGTGGGTTGGGACAAGAGACACTGACTATCCAAAGTCACCCAGCAGGCTTTCACGGCCAAGGCAGAGGGAACTGAACTCACAGCCCCTTGCTTTTTAGCCTGGTTCCTTAACTATTAAGACCAAATAAACCTTAAGGCTGATGTGATCAAAGTTTAGCTTACCTTTTCCAGACAGTCGTCGAGGATGCGTACCAATGCAGATACTTCTGCTGTCTTCATCATCCTCTGGTGGCCGGCTAAGGTCATCCCAAGCACATTTTGCACTGACACCGCTTAGATTGGAGCCATCTGTTTCAATCCCTTTATCAACTCGGTCCTGCTTAAAAGGATCCCAAACAAGCACACATTTGAGAACGTAGTTCTATCATTACAGGATCTATTACATATATTTTATTATAATGCTAAGTGTCTGAGAAACTGAGAGCTGCAGTACCCATTTTTACTGCTCTAAACACACAAAAGTCAGCTGCAAATCAGTGCCAATGAATACAATGGCCTTAAAACCCAGAATACACTGTAGCTCCGACCAGTGTAATATCACTTACACTGCTTCATGAGACTTTTTTTTCCAGCCCTATCTGGAGGCATTGAACTTCTGGAGTTGTGCATGATGAAGCCTATGCTCTTATCACCAAGCAATGGCAGAACGTCGGAGTTGCCAAATATCATTTGATGTCCTGAGTCATAGCATTTCATTCAAAACCACATTTCATGAAAGTGTAGCACTGAATCAAAAATAAAATTTAATGAATTCCAACCATTAATTTTCCCAGCCTGCTTTACTTCCAAAATCAATAGCAGAAAGAGATATTCCTGCATCTCATTGAAACTACCAGTTCAACAGAAGAAAACGATTTGACTTCAGTACTAACATTCACCACCAGATGATGCTGTTAAACTAAGTCTTGGCTTTTAAAATAAGAAGGAATGAACTGCAGCAGTTTGATGTGAACAGAAGAAAAAATAATAATTCAATTTTCCTTTTCACATGGAAACAACGTGTGCACCTGGGCTGCTTGAGAAGAAACTGTCAGAAACTATATATCCATCAACTATTGTTATGATGTTTGATATACTGAAGGAAGACTTCACTCTGAGATGAAAGTTTCACATCTAATATTCCAGTACTGTCAATGGTTGCAAAGATCAGTTTCAGCATGTCAGTCTATTTTCAACCCAGGAGTGAAGGGTTACATATAGTTTTTCGAAGCTTTTGAAATCCTTATAGTTATCATAAATCGTACTGGTTTCTACAAAACAAGGCAAGTAACAGGTGCCTTTCCATTCATACCTCAATCCCTCAACTTCCCCCAAGCACACAAGGACCAGGGAATCTGCACATGAATGGGCCTTTTTGTTGTTTTTGTTTTGTTTTTACTGCATGCCATACAGAGTCATTTTGGAGATGTGTATTTACAAATATATGGGAGGGAAGGAAGGAAGGAAGGAAGGAAATGATGTCTCTGACACAGTTCAGTAGCAACAGTGTAACTAATCTGAACTGAGCTATTTACTGACTATGGTTCCAAGGATTGCGAGCATGAAGACTCACAAATAAAAAATTGATAGCAAAGTAACAAAATAATTGACTATTTTTTCTGAGAACATTCAAATATAAGGGAGAATTGTTTTGGATTACAAATGCAATTGTGTCCACTCATCATGAAATATCAATAAACTAAATAATTAAAATGCATACTTGCAGGTGTGGATCTATTTCGAATATTGTTTCCCCACGTCGCATATCTGTGATTAACCATGGACCTCCTGCTCTATAGACGTAACAAAAAAAAAAAAACAATAGTTAACTGCAATTATCCCCAGAATATTAGGGTGTCTTGTGCATCTTTGCTAACTATATCTCAGACCACAAAATGCCTTCTCAGATCCTCTTTGCAGGTTATCAAATTTGTACGAATGTACATAATTCTTTAAGTACCACAATCCTAAGGGAATATGATACCTAAAATATCTTCATTCTGAAGCTATTTATTTTCCCCATGTTACATAAACTAACCAATAGAAGAGAGTACTTTGTAGCTCAGGGTTGAAATTTGAGGTTCCGAATACTCTGAGTGTGGTTTTTTTCTTGCGGACATTTAAGTACTGAACTAGATAAGCTCATTGGTGCAAGAAGGGAGTGTGGGTTGATTTCATTTTATATATCAAAGGCTTGTACTGTCGGTGTTGGTGAGAATGATCTTGGTGATTCTTTGATTAGGCTGTTGCTTACTGTTAGCTTGTTTGTTTGACCTGGTTGTTTCTTGACTGAGGTATTTATTTCTTGATGGTTTAGTGTTAATCTTGGTGTTAATCTCCGCTCATCGGGGTGTTGTTTGATGGTGAGGAGGTATTTTGGTCTCTTTTTTTTTCCTTTTTGATTGTCTCTTTTGAATGGTATAGAGATGTTATTTCTCTCTAAGTGCCGCCTATTGGCGGCTGCTTCCAGGAATTTTCTAGTGTTTTGGGGACTTGGCTTGTTCTAGGATGGTTCGTTTTCCAGCTGAAACTATGATTAAGTCTGTCCATGTCTTGTGAAATAAAGGAGTTTTCATCCTATCTTCTTACTGCTAGTTGGTGTTCATGGATGCACTCTGCTAGTCTTCCACCTGTTTGTCCTACCTAGTGGCTGTCATAGTCCTTACACTGTATATTATAGACAACTATATATATATCCTGCTTTTTCTTCTGGGCCTGCTGGATCTTTTGGTTTCCTTAGGATGCTTTGGAAGGCTTGAGTTGGTTTGTCTGCTATGGTGATGCCATAAACTAACCAAATAAATTGCAATTTCAAGTTGTTGTGTGAAACGGGGTGGGGGGGAGAACCTCAGCTATTTAAGTGTACAGGTTTTTAAAAAGATTATTTCAAGTGTAGCATTTGGAAGTGGCTGAAATTATCTTAATCAGACATTATCTTTTAATTGCTGATGTGACTTCCAAATCAGGTGGGAATGCTCTACTTACACAGGAACAGTCCGAAGCAATTCTAGTATACCCTGCCCATTCCACTGCTGTGCTGCATGAAGCTCTTCTGTACATACTCCAACAATCTAGAACAATAAAATAATAACAAGATCTTTTATACATAACAAAAAATATATATTGGAAAAACTAGCACGATGCAGCACAAATTTAAACACTAAAACAAAAGGGGTGGGGGGGAAGCCCTGTGCACTGGATGAAGGGACGTAAAACCTGGGGAAAACTCTAGTGAATGCCTTTTGGCCAAGATCAATTGTAGCCTTTCAGAACACTGGCGTTCACTTGCCTCCCCCACCCTAGCAGATGGCTCAGAGGTGCTCTGGAGAGGAAAGGACAATGTTAGTGAAACAGGAGCGTTTTGAATCTTTCCCTCCCCTCTGGAGAGCTCAGAAAGGCTCTAGGGGGGGGGAGGGAAAGAGAAACATGCTCCCCACCCCTGGAAGACTCAGAATGCCGGCCTCTGCTAGCGTTTTCATCAGATTTGAGGTCCATCTCTCCAGCATGCCAAGTGAAATCCAGTGTTTCCATGATCATTTCCCCTGATGGGATGGGGAGAAGGCCTGAGCTTTCCAGGTGTGGTGGGAGGCCTGGGCCATCTCCCTGGTGGTCTGCTTAATAACCACAATGAGAAAGCTAGGGGTTGCAGTTGTTGGGTGAAGTGGTCACTTGGCATTTCACTTAACAACTGCTTTGCTCAACAAGCAAGATTCCAGGCATAATTGTGGTTGTAAGGGCTACCTGTATATATTAGATATACAAAAGAAAGAAACTGAAGTCTGATGAAAATGAACTAAAGTACCCTAAAAGACTATCACAATTATCATGGGAAGTACTTAGTACTTTAGCCTTGACCAAAATTACTTACATGTTTTTTTAATGGGAAATAGCATATAATGTCTTTTTAATATCTAAATAATGACATAATATGACAGATAATTGTTTATCTGGAAAAATAAAATAGTGTTTCTTATAGACAATTATAAGAATTTACTGACTGCTAGAGAATACAGTATACCTGGAGAAATGTTACAATTCCAAATGGTGTCTGAACTGGCTGCATTTGTGGATCTTCAGTCAAGAGCATATGTTGGATTCTAGACTCACTGTTGTCCAATGGACTATGCCACGATACATGGTCACCACTACAGAACGTATTTTCTGTGGAGGAAAATGAAGGAAAACTTCTTTAAAAACTGGAATAATCAATCAATGGCCAAAACAAGCATCACATCACCATAAAAAGATTACAACAGAAACACTACCCATTTATTTTCTATTGTTCTTATGTATAAAAATGAAGATAATTCTTTTGTTTTTAAAGTGAAATGGCTAACATCTACAGGTAGTTTTCGACTTATGACCACAATTGAGCCCAAAATTTGTGTTGGTAAGTGAAACATTTGTTAAGTGAGTTTTGCCCCATTTTATGACCTTTCTTGCCACAGCTGTTAAGTGAGTCACTGCAGTTAAGTTAATAACATGGCTATTAATAACATAGTTCTTAAATGAATCTGCTTTCCCTATTAACTTTGCTTGTCAGAAGGTCGCAAAAGGGGATCACATGACCGCAGGGCATTGTAACCATCATAAATATGAACCAGTTGCCAAGCATCTGAATCTTGATCATGTCACCATGGGGATGCTGCAATGGCGGTAAGTGTAAAAAATGGCCATAAGTCACTTTTTTCAGTGCCGTTGTAACTTTGAATGGTCACTAAATGAACTGTTGTAAGACGAGGGTTACCTGTATATAAAAACATGTGAAATTTCAATCACACTTGTTGTGACTGACATCTTGATGGTTTGACACACCCCTCTGGGTACCACTGATTAGAAAGCCAAAAAAAGACACCACTCTGATATTTTTTTTAACAAGTCTTCTATGAAGTAACTATTCTCTTTCAATTTCATTCTACTTAGCAAGCTGGTACAGTAGGACAGTTTGATCATCATGCTCATTTATCAGGATTTCATCAATTTTTCCATATAAAATGTTGGTCCTGCCAACCAATGCAGGAACCCTAAGTTCCAGTAAAGAGGAAAATGTAGTGAATTATTTTTTTATTTTGCAACTTTATGTGCCACTTTTCATTAAAAAGAGTCAAAGTGGCTTACAAAGTTATAACAAAAACAGTAAGGCACCAGGCTAGAAACTGGAACACCAGGAGTTCAAACTCTGCCTTAGCCATGAAAGCCATGGGTGACCTTGGGGCACTTACTCTGTCTCAGACCAACTCCCCTCACAGAGTTGTTGTACAAAAATAGGAGAAGGAAGAAGTATTAGGTACATTTGCTGCTTTGAGTTATTTATAAATATAATAAAGGACGGAAATAAATAAATAAATAAAGCTAAATAAATAAATACGATCTTGATAAATTGTTCAGACCCTGGCTAAAACATCCCAATGTAGGGACCCAAATATTTTGTCAAAAATTTACTTCTACTTTATTTGTTTCTACAAACTAATAAAAAAAATGCTTAACGTATATCAGTAAAGTTAAAATCCTTATATTATTATCATTCATAATTGGCTGCTAGCTTACACTGCTGTCTTAATGGCGGTAACAAAAGCTCAGATTTTGATATGCCATTATTTTCTGTTAAGTTTCATCTGTTTGCACAAAAGAATGAATGCAAAGAAGTTTAATACCATATGCATTTTCAACAACCTTCCTGTATTATCCTAACTAATCCATAGGGAATCGTTGGATCCATAGAGAATCTGTTCATGTCCCATTAATTTCATGGCTACAGGAAAACAAAATTCTACTGACCAACAACTGTGAGGGTTAGGGCATTTATTAGAGTTACGCTATAGTGGCTGGAAGTAACATAACTTTTAGTCTCCAAATCTACTTTAGAAATATCTTGCAGGAAGGTTAGGAAAAAGAAATGTTTTCATTGGAAACCATCGCAGCCTTCAAGGGAAACCTGGTCTTTTGACCACCATGAAGCTACAGCAATTTGGCCAGAGGATTAGGATGCAGGGAAGTAAAGTGTAACCTAAGCAAGAAATATTTCACATTTCAAAAGACACGTATGGAAAATCAATTGATACATTCAGATTTCAAAAGCATGTAAAGACCTATAAAGAAGAGGGACATGCAGCTGTTCAACAATTATCAAAGCCATCTTAAGAGTCCTTATGTTTCCAATTTTCAATATCTTCCAAGTCATATAAAACACTAGCCAGGACTCCGATTAACTAAATGCTTTAATTAATGTAAACCCCAGTCACTATTTTCCACAATGAAAGAAGTTATATAAAGATACTTATTCTGAGACTTGTGTTTTTGTCACAATATTCTCTCAATTCTGTATTTTACTGCCTAGATTTCTTCCTTCAGGAAATCCCAACCATTTGTAACTGGTTTTCAAATGCTAATACAATATCTCTGCTGAAAGTCCTGCTATTTGTATCTATTTGGAAGAAGACAATTTAAGAAACGTCTTTCTTCTACAAATGCAACATTCACACTGACTGCCCAACCAAACTATAGAAACCAAGTATATGAAAAATTGTATGAACATATATGAATTATATGGATTTGTGAAAAAACACTAAACAGACATTTAATCACTGAAACTGACTAATTCTTCTAATTTTCAGTGGAATTGTATCATCTTCCAAGGTTATCATTCAACCCAAATTAAAACATCTATTAACACCTTGATTTGGACCACCAGCATTTTTAAATTCTGAGATACCTAAATAAATTGAGGTTTGTTGAAATTCAATGAGGATCACTAAATCTTATGAGACAAAAAACCGTCACAATTTTTATAAATATTTATTAATAAATCTAATTGATATGCAAATTTTAAAGCTAGAATAAAAGAAGGAATTGTAGATCCCAATTTGTTAAAATATTGGAAACTGATAGATGAGGGAAAAATCAAAATCAGACAATAGGGAGGAGCTGTTGCAAAAAATAAAACTGGAACTGATAATGACAGTTGAAATTAGAAAGTAAGCCTGTTTTTGATGAAGCTGGTGAAGGTTTATAATCTTAGAGCACAACTTGATTCTCAGCTGTCACTGGATTTGCATATCATAGCTGAGGTGAGATGTGCTATAATTATAGTGGTGCCAGAAATAATCTGAAAACTGAAAAATTGGATTCTGAATTAGTCACAATATTCTGTGGTGACATAAGTTGTTATTTTGGAAGTTTAAAATATTTATGACTTCCAATAAATGCATTAGATACATGCATATTAGAATGTTATCTAACTTTTACTGCATTACATGAGAAAATGTTTATTATAAGTAACAGAACCAAAAATATGACATTGTAAAACACGGGTGTCAAACTCGCCCGGTCACATTGCCATCACATGATGTTTCACGATGTTTTTTCTGTTTGCAGAACTGGGATGGGCGTGGCCTGTGCGTGATGCATCTAGCCTGCAGGCTGCCACTTTTATACCCCTGGTCTAGAACAATTTTAAAATGAAATTATAAATATTTTCACATACTCAATGATCAATTAAAATTACTTCATTTTGTTTGTAATACTTTTGTTATTCACAGTTATTCAACAATACGATATTTTTACAATAATAGTTTACATATTCTTGTATTAAAGTCTACTTCCAACAAAGATGCCACAGATTCAAGTAATAATTGAAGCAATTTGAATGTGTTTCCAAAGCACTCCCAACACTTAAATAATCAAGATTACAATTCACTTGAATGCAAAATTAAAAAGATTCACTCAATAACCACTGAAAGGTAAATCTGAATCATGAACCACTTGCTCAGAGGTCAAAGCAGTCATTATCCCATGAAATATTATTCAACATCTACTTGGTACACAGGAACAAAACATTGCTGAGGCTTGAGAGAACTGAATTACAGAAAGCTACTGCTGTTGAGATTCAATGTAAAAACAGATAAAACTTTTGAAGCAAAAGTTAATTTAAATAGTACAAAACAAAACGGAAATATTAGTTCCTTTTAGAAAATTTGTTAATGGAAAAGACATTTCAATTACTAATCTTCTCATCTGGAGCTTGCTTCCCTTTTCTTTAATTCTAAGTAAAATCACCAAGACTATTCCCACCAAGACCATGGACATAAAATGACCATCTCCCTTCCCTGCTAACACTAATGATGTTACTTAGTTTGGTAATGAAACTTCTACAACAAAACAACCAAGCTTAGAGAGCAACAAGGATTCAGTAATTTATATACATTTTTACATTGGAAATCTGCAAGGAAGATATATTGCAAGCAAAAAGTATTGAATATTCTAAAAATTAACATTTAAGATAAAAGAAAGTCCAGAAACAAGTCAGAGAAATATTTAAACTTTGCCTGTCAAGTAATATTGAATGAGATTGCTTAGCAAGTGAAGCTTCAGTAAAAGAAAGATGTCTTCAGATGAAAAATAACTAATTTCTAATCAATAATTAAGAAGGTTGGGACTAACTTATTTATTGGCTCTTGGGATTGAAGTGGTGAAACAGGAATCTCAAACTGTCAAACCAGAGAAAACCAATTTGTAAATAAAAAATAGACAGGAGAGACATTTTAAGTTGAAAAACAATACTACTAATTCAAAAAGACAGGTCAAACAATTCCAGATTTAAACTGGTCTCTAAAATAATCTGGATACCACTACTTAACTGATTCAAAGTCCTTATTTAATCAAAGTCCTTATTCCTAGATCATGAACAGTTTCCAGAGTCCTTAGTAATGCAAGTGATAGCTTCTAATTTGTTTTATCAAAATAAAAATATGACTTTCATCTTTCAGACAAATTATGCAAAATTCAAATTAATAAAATATATATGAAAAAGGAGCTGGAATCAGAGCTAATTATTGGGGGTGGGGGGGGAACCAACTAAAGCTTAAAGTAAACATTTAAATTATACCTGATTGGAAGACATATCTGGCTAAGCCTTGCATTAATTCTGCTGGCCAGGTGGGTGGTGCAGATTCCCCTGTTTCACGCTTAAGTCGAAATGTCAGCTCAAATCCAAAACCACTTGGCCCATCTGATCCAGTAAACCTGTACAAAATTAACCACAAAAGGTTTCATAAGAAAGATTCAGGAATATAAGCTTAGAATTCCACTCTTCATTTATTCTACTTATTTTAGTACCATAGTATTCCTCTGCATCAATACAAATTTACAGTAATTTGCCAAAAATCAACAAAATATTGATAATAGTTAAAATATGTGCAATACACATACATAAATGAAAACTATCAGTAACTAATGAAAGTTAGAACAATGCAAAGCTAAATTATAATGACAGCCAAAATAAAACAAAGTTTAATTAAACAGTATCTGTCAATTTAGAATGGCTCCCAAGCTTCAACCGCATCCCATCAAGAAAACTACAGATTATAAAAGTGGATGAGTTTAGTGGAATTTATGCAGAACATTTACTTTTTAGCAACTAATAACTGATAATACATTAGTTTCCATGCTGCTAGAAAATGGCTATTCGTTCCATTAGAACAGACTCAGATAATTTCCCAAACTGTTAATAGTTACTGTAGCAAAGGTGCAATGACTAGTAAACGTTTTCAGCAAGAGGACTGTTCTCTATTCTACAAAAATACCAAGTTCATTTTGTATCAAGATTTTAAAAATCATGAAATTAGTGTTTTGATCTGTAAAGGATGAATGTAGCTATATCCATTTATTCCAGATGAAGATCCAATTAGCAAACAGATTATCTGATTCTATGGATTTAGAAGGAAGGACGGAGCTATGGATTTGTAGCCCTTCTGTATCCTCTATAAAGAAGACAAAAGATAGCTCTTATGAATTTCTAAGCAACAGCAGTTAATCTTTATAATGTACAATGACTGCAAATGCTACCCTTGTCCCTCTAGTTTAAATTCAAGTTTCCCAAGTCATGCATTTTTGAAAATTCAGCAAATTCATGGAATCTGCCACAATAGCCAAAAGGAATTTTGAGAATAGGAGTAGAGAATATTCTTTTTCTCAAGAATTGCATTGCATTAGGATTGTTAGTGGTTGAATTGTTAGAGGTTGAAAACCTACAAATCTGGGTTAAAGACAGACTTGGGGAGCAAAACTTGTTCTTAACTCAGGGATTGTCTGTAGAAAGAAAGCACAATTGTCTTTAATGATGCCGAAGTCGCTACGTTGGGGGGATGGGGGAATGATGAGTTCAATATTAGCAAGCAGAAGTCACATATGGCTGTCAAACCTCCCAGGTACAATTAAGGACTTGATAAAAGCAGAAATGGAATTCCTAATCATCAATCCCCCCCCCCCCGCACTGCTGTGTTCACAGTATCTTGGGATAGCAAAAGATGCAAAGAGGATAGAACTCAAAAGAAGGAAATCAGGAAGAAACAGAGGGCCAATGTGTAATAATCAAAAAAAGTAAATGCAATCTGTCTATCTTTACTATTTTTAATAATTTTAATAATTAGCTCTTTCCTCTCAGTGCATTACACTGGAAAATTGTTTTACACTAGAAAGGAGATTATTCTTCAAAGAAGCAGATGCAGATATGCTGCAGACTGGCTTTGCCCTGAGCTAAATTTAGTCACATTCCTCTTATGAAAAACAGTCCTTTTAAGTTCAACTATTGTGCTATAAATATAAAGCAAGTATCTCGCCATACTTTTAGAACAAACAACAAAAAAGTGTTTTTAATAATATTGATGTATTTTAGATCCAGGAATTGTGTATGATTTAAGTAGTTCATGTCAGCCTCTTTGTAGGTGGGCTGTTTCTCAAATTAGCTACCTCAAACAATTGACTTTTAAAGCCGAGCATACTCCATCAGACTTAAGCAAAACAAAAAACGAAGGTGGTCATGGCTTCCAGGGCGGTCTACCACCAACAAAGAACAGGAAATGTGCTAAAATGCCTTGGTGGGGTGCATAAAAGATTCAGGTTTTGTAAGATATGTAGCCAAAGGTTTAAGAACTACCCAAAACAAATGGGTATGAATTGAAAAGATTTACATTTCACTTTTTTTCTCCTTGAAACAGAATTACATATAGAAAAAATGAAATAAAAAGTTGTGGATAATACTGTATATTCTGAATTAAAAAACAAAGGATAAAATAGGCACTGCCAGCTGAAATAATGATTACATTACACTCTATATCTAAAGCTTCAAGCCTGCTCCTGATATAGTCAACCAAATATTTTATTTTTAACAGGACTAATTATATAATGATAGGTAGGTAGGTAGGTAGATATTACACACACACACACACACACACACACACACACACACGCAAATGTATATATGTATGTATGTGAATATACTGCCTGAATATTAAAAAATTTAAAACAGAAACCAAATTGACAAATTGATATTATGACAAACTGATCATAATGTTCTTTTTTCTCACATAATTTTGAACACATTACTAGGAATTCTTGCACATATCAAGGTTAATAATCATCAGCTTTAAAACATATTACCACAGATACATTACAGGTATTCCTTGACTTACAACAGCTTGTTTAGTGACCATTCAAGTCACATAGCAAAAAGGTGGTAAAATTTAGTGCAATTCACTTAACGACTGCATCAGTTTGCAACTGAAGTTCCAGTCCCAATTGTGATTGTAAGTTGAGCACTATCTATACAACATCAATAACAATCACACACACACACACACACACACACACACACACAGCTACATGTAATAAAGTATAATTCCAGCAAGATAATTCTGTCTAGGATGCATCATTTGCAACAAAAGCAGAGCCAAATGTGTAACACCTTAAATTAACTGCTTTACAGCTGTTGGTGCTTGGGAGACACATCACACTGTGTAATGTGCCACTGCATTGCAACAATGATTTATGATTTAAGATTACCCATGAAGCAAATCACTGTGTCCATGCCACAAATCACTGTTAAAATAAATTATGACTTAATAAACTTAATCATGCCAAAAGTCATTTTATGTAGTATCATCTACATGTTAGTCTGTTATCCATGAGCAGGCAATGATAGTGACAGAATATAAAATACAGATTTTATATTATTGCTACATAAATGCAGCAATTCTTGTTTAAACATTAGAAATTATAAGTAAATGCTGTCTTGCTAACCATATTTTTTCTAATCTAACATTTAGATGAAACATACTACCGCTTTATAAAACCCTAGTAAGACCACACCTGTAATACTGCAACCAATTTTGGTCACCATACTACAAAAAAGATGTTGAGACTTTAGAAAAAGTTCAGAGAAGAGCAACTAAGATTATCAAGAGGTGTGGAGACTAAAACAAATGAAGAGCGGCTATTAAACTACAATTATTAAAACAATACATACAAAATAAAACATTCATTAAAAAGTGTGATGAAAAAGAAAACAAATAAATCAGAAACCATTAATCTAACATTCATGGAGGGAAAGACTGGACAAAGAAAATTGTCTCCAACAACCATAGGAAAGATAGTAACAGGAAAGATGTCTAAATCAGTTTATGCCCAAATCATTTTACATATAGAACAGTTACTTTGGGGTGGCTCATATATAGAGCAAGACATGCATGTTATGGATGTTTTTATTCACATATCTTTGATACATAGCTGTTGTTTTTCCAGATGCAAGCTAAAAGAAGATTGTTCTGCATTACTTAGATTCTTACAGCCCCCAAAAGCTTGTTATGAATTTCATTTTTTGCCATGACTAAAACATCTGAAACTGTTAAAGAATTCATTTCTGCCAAAATATGGAAGTCAAAACATTTCAGATTTTCTTTTACTAAACTGGGGCCAGTCTAAAAGGGATCAACAAAATTTCTTGGATGCAATTTTTGAGAATGGAAACAGGAACATTTTTATTTCATAAACTCCCTTACAATAGGGAGGGTAGGAATCCATTCCCAAAAAATACCACCCCAGAAAAGTCAGATCTTGGAGTCTTAGTGGACAACCAGCTAAATATGAGCCAGCAGTGTGCAGCCGCTGCCAAAAAAGCTAATGCAATCCTAGGTTGTATTAACAGAGGGATACAATCAAGACCAAGGGGGTACTAATACCACTCTATAAAACCTTAGTAAGACCACACCTAGAGTACTGCATCCACATTACAGAAAAGATGTTGAGACTCTAGAAAAAGTACAGAGAAGAGCAACCAGGATGATTAGGGGACTGGAGACTAAAACATATGAAGAACGGTTACAGTCTAGTGAAGAGAAGGACCAGGGGAGACATGATAGCAGTCTTCCAATATTTGAGGGGCTGCCACAGGGAGGAAGGGGTCAAGCTATTTTCTAAAGCGCCTGTAGGCCAGACAAGGAGTAATGGATGGAAGCTGATCAAGGAGAGATTTAACCTGGAAATAAGGAGAAACTTTCTGACAGTGAGAACAATCAACCAATGGAACACTTTACTTTTACTTTTATTGTCATTGCACCTTGTACAAAGAATTCAAACACCATCTTCAGTGCACATCATGACCATGACCATGAAAGTAAACACAAACACACATCCTTCACCCTTCACACATTGAACTGGAAACTCCTGACAGCACACCAACACTGCACTATACAGCAGAATTCAAAAGGGCTACTGCCCTGGGATAGAAGCTGTTTTTCAGCCTATTTGTCCTTGTTTTTATTATTTTGTACCGCCTGCCAGATGGTAATACTTTAAAAAAAGGGTGCCCAGGATGAGATGGATCTTTGAGAATGTTTTGAACTTTCTTAAGGCAGCGGGAGCTATAAAGCTCTTCCAAAGAGGGGAGAGGGCAACCAATAACCTTCTGGGCAATGACGTTAACCTTCTGGAGTGCTTTATCGGCCACTGTGCAATTGGCAAACCATACAGAGGTGCAGTGAAATCAGAGAAACTTTCTGACAGTGAGAACAATCAACCAATGGAACAGCTTGCCCTCAGAAGTTGTGGGAGAGCCATCACTCATGTAGGGTCTCCTGCTTGGGCAGGGGGTTGGACTAGATGACCTACAAGGTCCCTTCCAACTCTGATTATCTGTTATCTGTTATGCCCACTCAGTTGTTTTCAGCCAACACACCAGGGGGCAATCATATGCTGGGTGGAGGCTTCATCCTTATCTGCAATAATGATGTTAAACTAGCTAAACTAAATATGCTTGACAGTTTTCAGCCAAAACAAGATAAAATATGAAGAATCAGGAGAACTATGGTCTTTTGCTGTGCTACATTGGAAAGCTCTGTTACAAAGTAAGGCATCAGTCAAATGGCCATCTAGCCTCTTCTTGAAGAGGGAAAGAGAACTCACCACTCTAGCTATTTGGAGCCACCATGAAATTGCTCTTTCTGTTAGGACGACTTTTCTAACATATAATTGGAATTTCCCTTGTTGTCATTTTAATCTAATACTCTGTGTCCTCCACTCTAGAATGAGACACTACAGATACTGGTCTTCTAAATGACATCCTTTTAGGTATTTGAAGAGCAGTATCATGATTTCCTTCTGTCAACCTTTGTTGGGGCTAAATTATTATACTCCACCAAGACAGGCACAAATTTAATTGATGTTTCCTAGAAAAATAGAAATTTAGTATCACTAAAATAATCCATAATTTAGCGGGGACGTTACAACAGTTGTCATTCTGTGAGCCAAATAAGGCCAATCCCTGAATTGTGCTGCAAATAAATTATTTTAACATGGTACCTCCAACTCTCAATCTTCTCACTGATCCAGAAAATACCACAGTTGCTGCAAAATTAAGATGTACCAGCAGTTACATCCTCTCCATCTATTGCATGGGATCATCAATCTGGGTAACCACAGCTGATCCTTTTCAAAACCAAGTGTGAACCAGGTTGGAAATGGGTGAGACAATTAGGGACCTGCAGCTTAATTTCTGAGTGTTTGAATAGTAATTTATATAATATTGATCCAGATCAGATTTTTTTCAGAGACTGGAGGATCACTTCCTTTAAGGATAGTGGCATCACATATTCACCATTCCTAGATCCACCCAATCTCTTTAGCTTACTCGGTTGCCAGGATAGTCACAGATCAAAGTAGTAATGCAATATTCAGGCAACTACAAACTCTGATCCTTGATTCTCAAAAATTAAAAGTGAACCCAGACAATTGTGGTGCAGTACAATAATCTTAGTAGGTAGTGTGTCAAAAAACACAGCATGAAGTGAATAATTTTATCTTCAGGTGCCTTATAAATTACAGGATGTGACTTCTTTCCATCAAAAAGAACCCAGAATTAAAAGCATGAATCTATAGTAAATATTTTTGGTTATGAAGTTGCCAGATATCACGTAATTTTCTTTTTCACTCACAAAACTTTGCTGTTCTTGTTCAAAATTTCCCATTTTTTTTCAAGTAGAAACAGGAGAAACGTGAAAACTTCTGAGATTCTGAAAATTTAAAACTAAATATTTCTTAATTGAATGCACAAAACTAGTATTTATTTATTTATTTATTTGCATGTATGCTTCTTCCACTGCATTTCCAACTACTTCAGAAAACAACAAATCATAATACACAGAAATTAGAGACTTACTCGTGCACTCTGTTATCACCATACAAGTCACTTAGTCCAAAGCTTACATAATGCCAGTGCTCAGGAACATTTTGAGTTGGACTTCCCAAATTCCTGTACATACTAACATAGTCCAGAGGATCCGGTCCACCTAACCTATTTTAAAAAGAAAATAAGAGAAATTAGATTGTTTAAACCAAGTTTTGGGAAATAGTTTCAAGTAAATAGATTTACCTCTACTCCACATTATTACACCACTTCCTTCTGAAAACAGTTAGTGCTTCTTTTTGAAACTAAGTCAGAACTTTGCCTGATGTCATCATAACTACATAGCTGTTGTCATAGATCTTAAAAGTTCTATATTGCTTGGCTTTCATATTTTTTTCTGTTTCAATACTGAACAAAGTACAGGACTGCAAAGATGTTAGTATACTGCAAAAGACAAATGAACATAATTAAAATGAATATTTTCATCTGAGAGTATCAGAACTGTTCATAAAAATTGTTAATAAAATAGGTTTAATTTTTATTCTCCATAATACTATACCAAAAACACCCTACATCTATTGATGTAGTGCCTTTGTAGAGTATTTATCTAAAGAAGATTCAGGCACTGGCTAGATTCACATATTATATCAGCCATGATTTATTTATAATTTGCTGATAAGTCAGAATTAGCTGGTTGTAGGCACCATGCCAAGCCTAAGAAAAACAAATCAAACTAGTTTTAATCATTGCAAACCAATAAGAAAACAAAACTCAAGTAGAATATTTCATTTTTGTGAAACATATAATAATAATCACCACTTTTATAAAAATTAGTGATATATGCCATTTGTTACCCCAAATTGGTAGATAACTTTTCTTTTTCAAAATTAGAAATAAAGTGGATCTCAGTTCATTTCACAGATGTATGGCATGAAGTCCCAAGAAATGGATATTTTACACAAAAAACCTGCAAAAACAATTTCCATACTAGAGTTAATATAGCCTAGTTCTCTGTCACACTGCTCTAGAATCCAGCATTGGGCATAACTCTGCCCTCTTATGATGTGAGCTGAGTCTGCCACTATAAAAGGTTCGATTCTGCTGAGAGCCCCAGCTTTTCGACTCAGCTCTTGGACATATGAGTTATTGTCTCTGGACTCTGAGTTAATTAGCATTCCTCAAAACAAAAGTATCGAAAAAAAGGAAAAGAGACTCATCAAGATCGAGAGAAGCTCCCGGGGCTCCAGTAGAGCTTCACTCACGAGGAGAACAGGGATCCCCTCTCCTCCAGTTGCCAATTGCTTCAGCAAGGCACTGACACACAGACAGTAAGTGCGATCGGCCAAAACGCCACGGAAGCTCCCTCAGACTTGCTAGAGGCTCATTAACATTGCAACAGCCTCCTATGCAGCTTTTCCCTGGGCCACACGGCTTGTAAAAACCTCCCGAGGCTGCACAAGTCTTCCAGAGATTTATTAAACCCTAAACTACCAAAGTTTTACGATAGCTGCCTTCATGGTCCCGCAGCGATTAGGCCCAATCCCAACCAACCTCCCTTCTACTACTGCATTGATTGGAGGGGCAATCTTCCTTCTGCAAAGATAGTAATCCAGCCATTATAAATTGCCAAACAAAGGCCACAGCATGAAGCCCCAGGGATTCAAACGTGCAACAGGGATCATCGAAGGCCTCAAGGCCCCTCGCCTCATGGCTGGCAGCCATTTTGTGATGGAGTTCCTCCGGGTGCCATTTTTTAGTGGGCCCTGAGGCAGTGACCCTATCTCTCTCCTGGCCATCTAGCTTGGAAAACACCATCAGGAGGAGCTGACAACACCTCCGGTGTTTCTTCCTTGAGCAATGGAAATAGATTGGGCCCAGCCAAGACCATCAGGCATGCAGAGCATTCAGACCTCTCAAGCCCCCAAAAGGGTTATGAAAAGAAAACGACCACAAGTCTGTTCAGACAACAGGGAGGCCGCAGCAAGATCAGGGCCAGGGCCCTAGCCCCCAAGAAGGCCTCCAAGTCTGAATTTAGGGCAGAAAAAAGAAGGCATGAGGCTTTAAAGAAACAATTTGCAAAAAATACTCAACAATTACAAAAACAAGCTGTAGGCACAGAGAGGGCAGATGGAAGTCTGGCTAGCCATCTATGGAACTGGTCACCTGAAAGGCAGGATGAGGACCTTCCCCAGGACCTGAGTTTGTCAGGCCCTTCTTACAGGCCACCTACCCAGAACACAGCTACACCTAACCCTCAGCAGGCTTTGCCCCTAGGGGTTTACAGGTTTAGGAAGGAAGCTAACCTTATCCCTTCTGTGACTAGGCCCTAGATGATAATTCCTCCCTGGGAGAACAGGCCCCAAGACAACCAGGAAGTAGTTTCGGTGGCAGTCAGACAGGGCACTGCTGAAGGTCTCAAACACCTCCTCCACCCCCGGGGTGGAGGCTCGGGTATCCTTTCTTCCTTCTGTCAGGGTAACCCTCCCCCACGGAGGGAGGTCCCCACTTCAGAACCCATGTATGCCCCTCATCGTTTTTATAGTTGGGATACTTCCTGAATGGGGTACTTCCTCAGAGGATGAAGAGGGGAAAATTAAAGACCCCTTCATCTCCGACGAAGAGGAAACCAAACTATAACAACCGTCCACAACGGCTATCTTTAAGCCCTCCTTGTTTCAGCCCTTATTACAGAAGGCTCTGGTTACAGCCCAGTTAAGCCCAGAAGATGTGGCCTCGGAACCACAGGCTGGCCCCTCTAGCCAGGGAGACACACTATTCTCCAAACCGGTGGTCCAAAATGAGGTTCTCCCATCTCCCTTGTTGTTCTTGAATGTAGTAAAGGACCAGTTTGAGAACCCCCTGTTGGGGCCTCGCCCTTCTTCCCAGGACAAGAGGTTCTTTAATGTAGGTCCCTCCATGGCTAACACATTCCCAGCAGTAGATTTCCCGGTGGTAGCTACCTTTGCTTCCTCAGGCACCCCTACGGAACCAGAGGATGTTTTATGACCAGAGGACAAAAAGTCAGAACAAACTCTGAAGCGCTCACACCAGGCCGCAGCTTGGGCCATGAAAGCTTCCACTGCGTCCTCATTTTTTACCAAGTCGTCTATTCGCTGGTTGTGTCAACTTCAGGACAGAGTTCCCATTGCCAATGTTAGGTCCCACCAGGACCTAAACAAAATAATAGTGGCAGCCGAGTTCACCACCGATGCCACTTTAAGCTCGGCCAAATTCGCCGCAAAGGCAATGGCCTCTTCCATGTCCGCCAGGCACCTGCTGTGGATGTGCAACTGGTAAACTGACTCCAAGCGTAGGTGGAAGTTGGCGGTGGTCCCTTGCTCAGGAGAAAACCTCTTTGGAGCAGCCTTAGAGGTGTACATGGTGGAAACACAAGACAAGAGAAAAGTGCTATCTACTTCCTCCAAGAGATCAGATTTTCCATGCATCACGTACCCCAGAACACAAATCTTCAGGCTGGTCAACACCCTCACTTCAGTTGCAACCAGACAATGTATCCCTCTCGTTGGGAATAACAGCAGGACCACCAATCCAAACAACAACAATTCTCGGGTAAGCAGCCCTTTCAAGTGAGAGGAGGTCATTCATTCAGGTGCTTTAAGTAACTGCATCCCCTCCCCTCCCATCGGAGGTCATTTGACCGTTTTAAATCCAGATGGGATGAATCAACAAATGATGCCTGGGTCATCAGGACAATATCATCGGGCCTTTGACTCGAATTTCTCTACCCCTCTCCATCTTTTTGCGTCAGCTGTCCAACCTCTAGTGACACATCTAAACGGGCTCTGATGGACTCAGCTATCTACCACCTGATGGACATCAGGGCCACAGAAAGAGTTCCATGGGATCAGTGGGTGTCGGGCGTCTACTCCCACCTCTCTGTTATCCCGAAGGCCTCAGTGGGGTGGAGAACAATCCTCAATCTCAAGCTCCTGAACAAATTCATCCCATACAGGCATTTTAAGATGCAGACCCTACATTCTATTCTTTAGAGCGTCCGAGAGGGTAATCTCTCTTCCATAGACCTCACAGAGGCTTACCTCCATATCCCAATTTGGCCTCCCCATCGCCAGTTCCTCCATTTTTCTTATTGCAATGAGCACTTCCAATACCAGGCCCTACCATTTGGCCTCTCATCAGCACCAAGGGTTTTTACTAAGGTCCTGGCAGCATTGGCCACCTTCCTCTGAGCCTTACCTGTGAGGGTCCAATGCTACCTGGACAACATTCTGATTCAGTCTATCTCCATCCAGGCAGCCGAACAAGATCTTCAAATCACGATGCAGGTGTTGCAGGAACATCAACCTGATCAAGATCTATCTTTCTCCAACGACCCGACTATGGCATCTCGGGGTCATCATCGACACAGTCAGCTGCGAAGTCTTCCTTTCACAGGACTAACAGGACAGCATCACACAGTTGATCAACAGAATTCGACTAAGTCACTCCGTTCCACACTCCCTCCTGTCCCAGTTGCTTGGAAAGATGATCTCCTGCATCGAAGTTGTGCCATGGGCACGCCTGCATGCAGTAACCTTGCAATGGTTCCTCCTCCCCTTCCAAAGAGAAGGCATCAGTCATTCTGCCCACAGGTGCTTCGGTCCTTTCGATGGTGGCAGTCCCAGGCCATCACAAAGGGTCATCCCTTTATGGTCAAAGACAAAATTGTGGTGATCATGAATGCCAGCCTTCATGGCTGGGGAGCACATGCCCAGGGCCGGATGGCCCAAGCACTCCATCTTCAGTGCTGATGGCCATCTTCAGACAGGTCCCTTCCTATCAATTTCCTGGAGCTCAGGGTTATTTTTCGCACCCTGAGAAGTTTCCGGAACCTAGTGTCAGCGTCCCATATGCTAGTCATGACAGAAAATATAGCAGCCAAGGCTCATGTCAGCAGGCAAGGAAGGACCAGATTAGATGGGCTGGGATCCTCCAAGGAGAAACCACAGATAGAATGACCAGGTCCGCAAACCAGGACCTCCTTGGCCAATAGGGTGCCAGGAGAAGGAGCTCCGCTCATTCCTCCAACATCTTCCGAATTACTACTGGAATGATGGGAAGCGGGGGAAAGGCGTAGAGGAGACCTTTGGGACATCTGCTCCGAAGAGCATTGGTCTCCTCCGCTCCCTGGCAAGGAAACCTGGCGAAGA